CTACCTTGATCGTTGTGGAATTCAAGGGGACCAAAGGAATTGGGAGCGAGACAGAGCGCGGCTTTGAATGAATGTCCTTTATGAGAGAGCAGAGAGAAGATCATTTATATCCTTCATATTTTATAGTTTTGCCTCTAGGAAAGAAAAGACCAGCAGAGCCCCGACTATCATTTGCTCATAATGATCGCATTCAATCTAGTGATTCACAGTGAATCATATAATAAGGTTTCCATTTTGCACATGGGGAGAAGAAGGAGGGGTGGTTAAACTTTATTTAGTTCGCATTCATGCTCCCGGCCTCCTGCTTCCCTTGAACTGTCCATTTCGAATGACTAACCCACGGGGCGATGTTTTTTTTCGTTGGTTTCTTTTTTGTTTATATCTCCCTCCCACCCCCCGCCACCCTTCTGTTACTCCCCAGCAATAAAAATCCCTGGAAGGAAAGCTGACAGGTTAACGGTGCTGTTGTTAATTTTCCTACGGCAGGGTTTCACCCAAGCGCGGCTTCACTTTCGCGGCCGCTCGGGGCCGTGCCGAACCGGGTCGTGCCTTGCTTCGGCTGTGGCTCTGCCCCGGTGCGGAAGGAGGGGACCCCCGGCCAACCCGGACGCGCGGAGCGCCCGTTTGCAGCGGCACCGGGAAAGGGGGAAAGTTGCTTTTCATTACTTCGGCCTAAATCCGCAGGCACCCACATGCAAACACGGCGCACTTCTCCTGCGGGTTTGGATCAGGGAGTGGGGATTTGGGCACCCTCCTCCCCCCTCGCTGTTTCTGCAGAGACCCCTCCACACACGGGCAAGCACATAAGCGCGACCGCCGGCTCGCTGTTAAGGCACTCGGACGCAGTCTTTGCTCTCAGGACCTTTGATATCTGCATGCGTTTCTAGTAAAACAGAGGCGAGGGCAGGGTAAGGCTGCGAGGCTCGGAGGGAGCTCTGCTCCGACGGGAGCCGCGCTCCGGCTGCCCGGCACGGCTCCGTGAGGAGCACTCGGAATCACCCCGAAAGGCGAAAGAAAGGAAGGCGCCGGGCGGGAGACAGGCGCGGAGAGCAGAAGCATCCCGAGCAGGCGAGGTGAGGCAGGTCGGTGCTGGAGGACAGGGCAAAGGTGATGCCACACCGCTCCGGCCCCAAATGCGCCTGGAGGAGCCGTGCTCTTCCCCAGGAAAGCCAACACCTTTGCAAGAGCTTTAAAGTATATACATATAAAATGAAATGGGCGTGTTGTCACTGAAGGGAAACCACTGCCTTAGCCATGGGGCTTTCACCAAAACAGCCAAGTTCTCTTTTGGGCAGAGCAGAGAATCTCGAAGTCTGCTTGACATCTTGAAGCTTAAATAACCGTAAGGCATTGTTACTCCCTGGCAGCAAAGTGCCTCGTTACGCCTGATTGAGCTAATTGCTTTGAAATAGGATATATTATCTATAATTATAGAGATCTTGAAGGAGACGGCCAGCCTTTTCTTTCATCTTTTCCAAGTGCATCATAATGTCGCGATCAAATTAATTTGGGCCACTTGAAATAGTGCCTTCCCTTCAGCCCGGCTCCTCCGACCCTCGAAGAGCCTGGGACTCCTCGGCGGCTGGAGTTTGGCCATCAGATCACCGGTAACCTCCCGAGCATCAGCCAGGTGGCTTGAGCCTGAAAAGTAGTTTAGATTATGCTTAATCTGGGCGGAAAGGGTAAAAGAGAATGAGGGTTAAAAAAAAAAAAAATAGAAAAAAGGGGGAAAGAACTGAGGTATTTTCGCATTACTCGACGCTCCGGGGCGAAGGAGCAGCGACGGGAGCAGAGAGGGTCGGCTCTTGAAGGGCTTTGAGAGCTTGTAAAGCCCGCAGGACATTTTTAGCACTTGCGATAGATCTGGCTCTTTGCCCCCAGGGCTGAGCCGCTCCGACCTGCGCGCAGGCAGCGCGGAGGGGGCACGGAGGCAACGTGCAGGAGGGTGCGGCAGAGCCGCCCGTCCCCAAAACCTGCCCGTGTCCTGAGGGTCTGTCTGGTCTCCTAAGAGCTGGTGTCTCGGGGGAAATAAAATAGAAACAAGGGAAACAACACCACCCCTCTCCTTTCTGAGTTCTGCCTTTAAGTCAAAGATAACGTTTACAAAAGGCAGACAATGCCCTGAATTGGCTTAGCGCTGCCTCCTGTCCTCCCTCCCCATCCCCCATGCACCCCTCCTAGCCCTTGTTGTTGTATTCCCACTGAAATAAAATGCTAGGGGTAATGGCTTTGCCTAGCACATTCATTATATTGAAACGGGACTGTTTAGGATGCTAATTGCCCAATATTGTTATCTAGCAAAGTGCCTTCAGGGAAGCGCCACGGTTCCCAATAAAAACACTGGTCTGGAACAAGCGCCAATAAAGTCACCTATTCCTTCCCCCTCCATCCCCCCTCCCTTTTGCTTCGGTTTTTCTTATAGTCCAGGAATGAAAGTAAGAGAGAGGAGCCTAAATCCAAGTCAGAATTATTAACACAACGGAACCAACACCAGAAAAAAGTTCCTTAAATCCAGTGGCGTCCTGATCACTCAGAGCGCAGCGAGGAAGGGGAGAGGAGTCTGAATATAAAAAATTTCCCTCTAAATAAAGAAATTTATTGCGAGAGAGATTTCGTTTCTCAGAATTGATTTCTCAATTCCTAATTTAGAACCTGTAGATTTCACTGAGAAGGAAAAGAAAGGAGCATGAAACGAAAGAAACTTTTCTGGCTTCCCTTTTTCAGCCCAGGAGCGTGCCAGCATGTGAAGGAGAATCGAGCCCTTGCTATGGTACAGTGATTAAAATACCACCGAGTATGACAGAAACGTAAACACAAAGCGTTCATTGCTGGGAGATAAATAAAGAGCTAATTATCTCATTCTGACAACTCTCAATGAGAGCGGGACCTCGTACACTCATCTCCTCAAACCTCAGCCACATCCCAACGGCCAAACCATTCTGCGAAAGAGAAGTGAGAGGAAAACAACCCAGCAGCTCTTAGTTTTATTTTTCTTTTCATATTTCCCTCAAAGCAAGGAGATCGAAAGCAGCGCAGGGGCTGTCTGGAGGTCTGATGGACACAACTCATCTTCTTTGGCGCTGTTGCTTTTGGGATAGGGGAAAAAAATCCCAAATATATATATATCTATCTATATCTCTCTATATATATCGTACCTGTAGGATCGGGTGAGGGGACACCGGGAAACACGGTACAGCGGTATTTGCGCGTGTTTTCCCAGCCGGGAGGTGGGATGGGGGGGGGGGGGGGCAGTGCGGGTTGTGCATCTTCGCAGTCAAGCACCGGGTTTTGGGAAAATGTCGTGTGATTGGTAGAGCAAACTAATTTTGTCCGGCTGAATGTGCCGGTGTCCCAGGGCTAAGGCGCCTTGCTCCCTTGATGCGGGTTAACGTCCTCAATAGTCCCCCTCCAGCTGAAGCCTTTGATCAGACCGCTGCTGGCGCCTAAAAACAACATCACTTGTCTGCCTATTAGAGGCACTGACTAATCGTGACAGATTGTTTATTCTCGCAATTAGCAATGCAGCCGCTTCTCCGAGCACATACAACCGTGTCCCCCCCCCCACCTTCAACACTCCCCAGCAGGCCCGGTCCCCCGGCCCGACAGGGAGCGGGGAGCTGTGATCAGGGCTCGGAGCCGGCATCACTGCTCCATGAGTGGCCGTAGGAGCGTTCACCGGGGCGGCACGAATCAGGAGGGGAAGTGAAGGGATCGATGTGAGCTGTGCGCCTGCCGTATGAGGGTCTGTGCCATGTGCGTTCACCCTTGTCTACGGAGGGCACGGGAGCGCCGCGCGAGTAACGCACAGATCATCTTCACGTAGAGGGACTGTGTATGAGCACAGCAGGACAGGTACGAATGTGTACGTGCAGGACAGTACCTTTGTACAGGGAGTATACTCACATGTGTGTAGGATACGTGTGCGTGTTTTGTCCTGCGAGCAGGACAATTAATGTCACTCAGAGCCTGCTGCTTATCAGTTAATAAAATGTCTATTGTATCAATCCATTTCATAACCTGTACGCTCCTAATCTACCATCTTTATTGAGACCAGTTGAAAGGGACGGGAATGCGCTGTCCCTCCCCGTTCAGATAATTGCCCTTAAATGACTGCAGGAGCCTCTGGTGTTCCGAGGAGATTAGAGCCCTGCAGCTATCAATAAACTTTTCCCAGCGAGCGGCCAATCCCGTTATTAGAGAGCGGCCCCGTTTTACTGCACATCCGTCCTGGGCGCGGGGATAAGGGATCGTAAAACGAATTTACAAAACAAAATAGGCAAGACTTTAATGGGTCTGGGGCTTATGCGCTCCTTTTTACGGGAAGGCACGTTTCATTATCTGGAGCAGTGCACGCATCTCTGCCATGAAACGCAGCACGACTTATGTGTGTATAGATGCACATAAGTGCAGATCTCCGCAGACACTCCGAACACACCGCAGGGCCGGCGCTCATTCAAGAAACCCCAAAACAAACAAACAAACATCCCCTAAAACCACTTTTCTGATGCCAGCCAGGCTGTGGGACAGGCAGGGGTCCCTCCGGGAGGCCACACTCTGGACAGCGCAATACTGCTCAGTTTTGCAGAAGAACACGGCTCGGGCCTGCTTCCCAATCGGAAAGCCTGGCTGTTTTCCGACGCTAATACATTTTTGGCCCCGATTTTTGAGCCTCCCCCACAAGATCCCGTCCCACTGCGGAGCGCAGCCCCGGCCCTCCCCACTCCCGCCTGCGATACCATGGGGTTGAGCGGTGGTACGGGGAAGGGGGGGGGGGGTGTGGGTGTGTGTGCGCCCCGACGGCGAGTCCGGACCCCACACCCCCACCCGCTCCCGAGGCCGCAGCAGCAGCCAATGGGGAGCCGCCGCCCCGCCCCCTGCACGCTGGTTGGGCGGTGCCTCCCCCCTCGCCGCTTTATCAGGCGGTGCCGCCCGCCTAGGGACGGAGCGCGCCGACGGCTGCCCGCGCCCCGGCTCCGGTCCCGGCCTCATGAGCTGCGGCTGCCGCCGCTCCCACCCGGCGCTGCGGTGGCGACGGCTGCGCGCCTCTGCATGGCCCCGGCTCTGGATATGACCACCGCGCCCACCGGCGTCCGCAGCGAAGAGCTGCCCGCATCCGCCTTCAGCAAGCCCGGCGGCGGCGGCATCCCTGTCGCGGCGGCGATGGGCGGGGAGGAGGAAAGCGACAAGCCCAAGGTTTCCCCGTCCCTCCTGCCGTTCAGCGTGGAGGCGCTCATGGCCGACCACAGGAAGCCAGGCGGCAGGGAGGGCCCCGAGGGCGCCGGGCCTCCGCAGGGCGTAGGGGCGGCCGCCCGCGCCAGCCTCAGTCCCCGCCTGGGCGCCCTGACGGCGGAGGCTCCAGCCTCTCCGCTGCCCCTCGGCGGCCACTTCTCCGTCGGGGGGCTCGTCAAGCTGCCTGAAGACACCCTTGTCAAGGCGGAAAGCCCCGAGAAGCAGGAGCGGAGCCCTTGGATGCAGAACCCACGGTTCTCGCCGCCTCCCCCAAGTAAGTAGGGACTGGGAGCGGGCGGCTTGGGGCCCCCCGAGCCACCTCCCGCGGGCCAGCGCTGCTGGGCGGACGGGCGCTTCCTCTCGTTTTCTCCCCTCCTGGCATGCTTTTCCCTGCGGATCGTACTCTGCCGGGCCACTACGACCTGACAAAAATACTGAACTGGGTCAAGCGTGAGCGAAGCTGGAGGATGGCGGCGGAGGAAGAGCGGCCGCGCCAGGACCAGATCGTGTGCCAAATGTTAACCGGGGTAGGGGAGGGAGATAAAGCAACCTGGCCTACCGCTTCGCTTAATTTGGGTCAAAATCAGTCTTAGCAGTGTTTACCCCGAAAGTGGCTTTTCAGGTAATTCCACAGGATTCACGCAGACCGGTCTCTAGGGCTGTGCGGGCTTCAGCCCCGCCGGCTGGTACCTCAGGTGTTCCATGTCCAAAGACCTGCAGTTCCCTGTTTTAACACGCAGAGTTCTACAGTAGTAATAGCAGTGGGACGGCTGGGATCAGAAAAGCCGTTAATCCTCCGAACGGCTGCCCTGCCACCGGCTGGATCCCGGCAGCTCCTGGTGTCCCCGCGGAAAGGGGCAAACTTGGGTTGGTGCTCTCCGGAGCGTTCGGGTGCTTTTAGCGGAGCTGCGACGGGAGTTGGTTTCTCTCTTGAAGAAAGCCAGATTTCCTGTCAGGAGTTGTGCAGAGTATCGCAGTTGTTTAACTTATTCAAATTGCAGAGTAAAAGTTGTGCGAGGTAAATCCGGGACAGGTCGAGGACCCTTAGAAATCTTAAGAGGAGCAGAGCGGTAGATGGAGGCTTGGTGTGAATTTGGAGCTCGTAATTAATTACGTGCTTAATCCGGTTCCTGGGGCCGAAAGAAGAGGGTGCGAGGCTGAGACGGCAACCTGTTTTGGTTTGTTTCTTTTTTTTTTTTTTTTCTTAATCCAATAAAAAAGGATATACACTTTTTGGAGGGTCTCAACCTTCGCTTATGCCTCCTCGGATTAAGCCGGGAGCCGTGAAGACAGGAGGGTGTTTGGGTGTGCGACTCCTGCCCTTTTGATTTTTATAATGGTGTTGGAGATTCCAAAAACATTGAGAAACTTTGGGCCTGGGAGTCTTAAAAAACCCAATTTCTATTGGGAGATACCACTTTGAAGCATGCCTCACGCAGCAATAGGGGTTCGGGCCACTTCGAGTGGGACCTCATTTACTCCACTCTGCATCCCAGCTGCTGTTGGTGAGGGCTCTGCGGGGTGTCTGGTTCCGGGCACTGCTAACCGAGGTATCTCTCTCCTTCTCCCTTCTGCTCTTCGGCACAGGGCGGCTGAGCCCCCCCGCCTGCACCCTGCGCAAGCACAAGACCAACAGGAAGCCGCGGACGCCCTTCACCACGGCGCAGCTGCTGGCCCTCGAGAGGAAATTTCGGCAGAAGCAGTACCTGTCCATCGCCGAGCGCGCGGAGTTCTCCAGCTCGCTCAGCCTCACCGAGACCCAGGTGAAGATCTGGTTCCAGAACCGCCGCGCCAAGGCCAAGCGGCTGCAGGAGGCCGAGCTGGAGAAGCTGAAGATGGCAGCCAAGCCCATGCTCCCACCCGCTGCTTTCGGCATCTCCTTCCCGCTGGGCGGCCCGGCTGTGGCCGGTGCCTCTCTGTATGGCGCTTCCAGCCCTTTCCAGCGGGCAGGACTGCCCGTGGCTCCCGTGGGACTGTACACTGCGCACGTGGGATACAGCATGTACCACCTCACATAGAGCTGAGCCTTGCTGAGCCCAGCACGCTGACTGCCTGCTCCTGCCGGCTCCCCACGCACTCCCTTCCTGCTCTTCCGGCTCCTCACTGTGGACTTAACATGGGCCCTGTTGCAGAGACTGCTTCCTTCCCCCTGTGATGTTGGCCCCTGGTCCAGTGCCGTTCCACTTTCTTCCTCGGCAGTCCTGGGAGCTGCTCAGCTCTGCAGCCGGCAGAAACCTGAGGCATGGCCCCAGTTGCTCCCCGAGGGTGGCGATGGGCCAGCCCTGCCCCGTGTCGGGCTGGCAGCCCTGGGAGAGACCCTGCTGTGGGTGAAGGAACTGCGGAAGAGAAAAGGCAAAAAAGGGGGTGAAAGGCAGGGTGTTTCTTCTTTCTGCCAGGCGAGGTCAAGAGGCAGAAGTGTAAAGCAGCCTCTCGTCCCTGTTGTAACAGCACTGTCTGTTACCTGTTTGTTCCTCCACTAGCTCCTTTGGAAGGGGCTCTGTGTAGTATGTAATATACTGTATATTTGAAATTTTATTATCATTTATATTATAGCTATATTTGTTAAATAAATTAATTTTAAGCTACTGTTTGATGTGGATCTTTTTGCTCATTTCTCTGCCAGGGGTGACAGAAGAAGGGGCTAAACTTGTCAGTGTGCCAGGGGGACAGGAGTGAGGGACCAGCTGAACCAGCCGGTTTTTCTCTTCCCCAGGAGCCTTTGGTCTCAGTGAGACCTTTGCTGAGTTTTTAGCTTGCTGGGTATCCTGGAGCTGCCTTATCTTCACGGGTGTCTGAGGTTGTTACATTTCCCCCCTCCACTGCCCCTCACTGGCAGCTCCAACCACATCCCCTTGCCCCGAGGTTGTGGCTGCTTTCCCCAACAGCTCCGGGACCAGCACGGCTCCAGGCTCAGCTCCGGCTGGGTTTTCCTTGCCCTAGGCAGGATAAAAGCTGCTCCTCTCCGTGCCAGCGGCCTTTACCCGGAAAGCTCCCAGCCGCAGCCCCGACGGCTGCCGAAGGGTTTGGGGATGGTGTGACTTGCTTCTCTTTTCGGTGCCAAGCCAAGAGAGACAGTCCAAGGGCTTCTCCACCGCTCCTTTCGGCCGCTGGCCTTGCTCAGGGGAAGGGAGAGCAGGGGTCTGGGGCTGTGGAGAGGAGATCAGGCTGTGCGGGCGAAGGGGAGACAGGGCGCTAACAGCGGGGCAGAGGCAGCGCTGGAGCCAGCGGGATGGGTTTTGGGTGCAGGCTGATGGTGATGGGATGTAGAGGACAGTAGCGTTCGGCACGGGTGTGGGGCCGCGGCAGGCAGCCGGGGGCACTCGTGGGACCGACGGTCGGGACCGCTCGGCGCCGTCTCCAGCCCATCCCCGTGGCTCCGGGCGCCCCGCAGCTCTGAGCGGCCGGCTTTGCTGGAAACCCGTCTGCACGGCCCTGTGGAGACCGCCGGCCGAGCACCCCGCGGAAGAGAGTGGCGGGCAGCCTCGCGCTGCGCAGCACCGCGCAGCCCCGGCCGCACCGCTCCGCTTTCGTGGACCCGGCCAGCACCGAGGCCGCCGCCTCGTTGGTGCCCCGCCGGCTGCGCCCCCGAGCCCCCTCAGTGAGCCTCTCCACCCGATTTAGTTTTGCCGATAGCTCGGGTAAGAGCATTGATTTCCCATTTTTCATTATTTCATCCTAATTTCGTGCTTTATCTTAGTGCTCAAGGAATGGGCGCTGAGAAATTGGGACTCCGCTTTATATTTTTCTTTCTGTCTCTTTTTTTTTTTTTTTTTTTTTTTGTTCTTCCCCCGCTGCTTTCATTTCCAGCAATTTAAAACGTTAAGGTTGAGGCAAAGTTAGAAGGAAAATAATTGCTGTAATGAGGCTAGGCAATCTTCTGCAGGCACTGTGGCTCCAGCGAGACTGTAGCTGGGGGCGAGGCGGGACTTTTATCATCTCCTAAATATCAATGATGCTTTCAATAACTCAACGAAACAGCATACCTGAACCCAGCCACTTTCTCCAGAGCTCGCTGCTCTAATCCCCTTCTTCTCATCTCTCGCTCTGCTCTCGCCGCCCAATCCTTTCTGGTCTGGGGTGAATTTGGGGGTTTTGTGGTTGGGGTTTTCCTTTTATTTTTCTTTCATTTTCTTTTTTATTTTCCCTTTTTTTCTATTGGTTTTGGTTTGTTTTTTTTTTTTTTTTCCTTGGCTTGCTTTCCCGATCATTTCTTTTCTCCGTGCAAATGACAGTGTCTGTGATCCTGACCCCAGCGCCCAACGCCGCGCCGGACTGGGGAGCGCGGTGCCGGCTTTTTCCCACGTTGTGTCTCTGGCAGAAAAAGGCTGGAGATAAACTCAGCCCCTGCGCGATTAGACCGCGGGTTTGGGGAGCAGATCTAATCGCGCAGGAGGGCATGTTTATCCTGTAAATAAGCGCTTAAAAAATACGAGAGAGGTTTTAAACAGCGAGAACCCCCTTGAGTTGGCTGCCAGCAAGCCTCGCTCCCTTCTCAGGCACCTTTGGGTGCTGCGGCGCGGGGTTCCGAGCGAGCCGGACCCTTTCATCCCCTCTTTGTCTGGATTTTGGGTTTTGTTGGTTGTATTTTCTTTTTGTTTTACATTATGTCTGCTTGGGATGGATATTCGGGGCGCAGGATTCCTATTGAACATGTCTTTGCTTTAAGTTTTCCCCCTGACCCTTGGGCTAAAGTCCTTGGTTGCTCAATTAAACCCAGATGAGAACAATTAATAACTAAGTAATGACAATAAGTTGGGAATCACACGGATGAACGCTCCATGTGAATAGGAAAAGCTCACACAAAAGAGCAAAAAGGATTTGTCGGCTCTTTTTAAGGGGGAATTGGCTTTTCTTTTTTCTTGCCTCTGGCTTACCAGCAAATAAAACTCACTTTTGTGTCTTTGTCGCCTTAAGGATCTCAGTGGGCAGTTGGAAGTGAGAATGGCTGTTTTCCTTTCAACTTGAGGGTGCTGGCGCCACGCAGCCCCAAGGATAGAGAGTAGCCAAAGCAAAGTTTCCTAATAACTCCCCTCTCCCCCGCCACCCCTCCTCAGTCACTCCGGTACCCCCCCCTTCTCTCCATGCATATCTCCACACACAGCCCTAGAGAGCCTCGGCAGACACAGAAAGCAGAGGGGCCCCGAGCATATCCATGTACCACCTCGGGCTCGCAGGCGCGGCGATGCTCTGCCGTGGGAAAGCGGTCCCGCCTTGCCGCGACGCTTTCCACGGAGGGTCGGAATTACAGCGCACAGGAGCCGGGGCACGGAGAGGGAGCCACACTCGCAAACACACACACAGAATTAAAGGGAAGCCATTTTTCTACTCTTATTCCCCACAAACAAGGGGTATAACTCCGCTATCCACACGCAGAGGCGGCCGGGGAGCCCCCGGCACAGCCCCTGCCCCCGGCTGGGTTATAGAGGGGTAGGCGGCTGGTGCCCGAGCTCTTAGGGAGCATGGAAAGGCGCTTCTTCAGTTTCAGCTCCAGAGAAGGAGGCTTCCAGGAAAACCTGCTGCGCAAATCTGTGGGTAAACAGCGGATTTGTTGTCTGCTCTGAATTTCTGGTGTTTTCAGGGTCTCTTTCTGAATTTGCTCAACTCAAAACACGAATCGGTGCCCCGTTGAAGTCTTTATTTAACGTTTACCCCAGTGCTCAAGTGAATTGGGAGCTAAAACTCCTTTTTCAAAAGTGAGGGCAGGCAAAATCCAGCAAGTGAGTTAGGCAGAGCAGCGGCAGCCTCCCGCTGCTCAGGTTTGTGCCTGAGAACACAGCCCTCAGAAACCAGGGGCAGAGCAAGGAAGCTGCCTAACTTGCCCATTGTGAAGGCCAGGCGGTGGGGAGGGGTGACCCCGCTTTTCAGTAATACTCGTGAGCTTAAATCCAGGCTCATCATCTTGTGTGAGTCTCCTGAGTCACATCAAACCTTCTTGCTAAAGTTCTGGGAAGTGAAAGGTCTGTTGAACAAACTGGCTGTGCACCTTCATGGAGAAACAGGGTGCTTAGTGGTAACTCCTGGGTCCTGCCTGATTTCAGGTAAACGGCTGAACTCAGGTATTCTGTATGCAAAGTGAAAATCCCAATCATCAACTTACTAGGGACTCAGAAGACTCAGACGAGAACCTTATTAGGTTCTTCATCTCTCTTAATGATACATTTGATTTTATATTAGACACAGAGGTGGCTAGAAAGTGCAAGAAAAAGTGGCTACTTAAATACCCTTGTGGCCAGGACACTCCTCAGGGCTGTAGGGCTGTTTAGATTAAATCCAGCCAAGTGGTGACGGTCAAGTAAGTCTCCCACTGCTTAGGATATAATATACTGTACCCAATAAGCTGTCGGATGCAGTGAGGTAGTTCTCTCCCTCCCCTAGTTTTCCACAAAAGCATGTTGATGTGGCTTAGGCACTTAGCTGCAAGGGAGCCTGTGGCTGAAAACGACACCTTCTTCCTGCCTCTCACAGTGGCAGGTCCCGATGTATAGATGTTAGAATTCACATATATTCTAACCCAAGGAGTATGTGGATTCCTGAAATTTCTTTTCATTTGCTTTTTACTCTCTCCACACCTTGTGTGAAGCACAGTGGTGTCTGTCCGTGGCCTGAGCAATCTGTTCCACAGCAAGGAGCCTAAAAATGAGGCATTGCGATAATGAGCATTGCAACACTCAGCTCCTTGGGGCTGGCCCGAGGCCTCTCTGCAACACGGACCCATTGTCTGACCGGCTTTGCGGCAGGAGAAGCTGGGAGGCAGAACCAGAAGCAACAGCTCTGACTCATTTAACTAGGAGTAGTAAATTGTGCCATGCTGCACAAAGAGATGTGGTAGTGATTTGCTTACAACAGTAAACCGGTTGACAATAATTCTGCTCCATTGTATTTCTTCATCTCGGAGATCTTTTATCCCTTCAGTCTGGATCCTGTTCCCACCCTACAGTGATTAAACGGAGAGCAGGAGAGGCAGCTACCTGGACACAGTCTCCCTCGTGTGACCAGGAATGTGTAAGAAATCCACCGTGCAAAGCTGTGCTTTTCATCTCGTTCAGTGACAACAGCTGAGCACCCCTCTCAGCACAGAGCAAAACTACTGGGAGGTGAGTGTCTGTGCCGGGCTCACCTTTGTGCTGCTGCCCAGTGTGGGATGGAGCTCCCTCAGCCAACAGCTGATTCTCATGACGGTGTGAACAACACTCTTAGCATTTCTTCTTACTTAGCCCTGTGGAAGAGAAATAAACCTCTTGCATACGGTCACAAAATGATCAAAGCTACTCAGCCAGTACAGATTCTGGCCTTGCTAGTGAGCTGTAAGACAGACTTTGGGAGGGAGTTTTGTGGGAGCAATGCTCAAAACCTGAGAGCAATGCTACGTCTATTGG